ACAGTGGCTGACGCCTTGTCTCATCCTGAGGATGTTCCAGATCAGATTCTGCTAGCTTTGTCATCTCCGGTTCCAACCTTTTTACAACAATGGAAGAATTATTTTACATCAAATCCAACAGGCCAAGCAACAGTTCTTAGATTCATTCATAATCCTCACTTGGGACACACGTACAGTTTTTGTGAGGGGCTCTTATATTTCCACATTAGGCTTTTCGTGCCCGAGGTCTGTGATTTCCGTCAAAAATTGATGCAGGAGTACCATGCCATTCCCATAGCTGGTCACTCTGGCATTAAGTCCAGCCTTAGCCGCCTAGCTGCTTCCTATTACTGGCCTTCAATGGCTTCAGATGTCCGTCAGTTCATCAAGCATTGTGCCATCTGCCAACAAAACAAATATGAAACTCAGAAGCCTAGGGGCTTGTTACAACCACTTCACACTCCCAACAAGGTATGGGAAGAGGTGACCATGGATTTCATTACCTCTTTGCCAAGTTCCTACGGTTACACCGTGATTTGGGTAGTATGCGATCGTCTGAGCAAGTATAGTCATTTTGTGGCCCTTCCCACACACTTCACTGCACAACAACTCGGCCAACGTTTTATGCAGGAGATCTTTCGATTGCATGGTCCTCCTAAAATCATCATTTCAGACAGAGATACCATATTTTTAAGTCAGTTTTGGTGTGAGATTTTTAAAGCTCAAGGAACAAAACTTAAATACAGCTCTTCTTACCACCCACAACCGGACGGACAAACGGAGGTTTTGAACCGCACCCTAGAATGTTTCCTACGTTGTTTCGTGAGCGACACCCCTCGTTTGTGGTTTTGGTTTCTTCACATTGCGGAGTTCTGGTACAACACCAGCAAGCATTCTAGCTTAACCACATCTCCTTTTCACGTTCTCTATGGTCGCCCGCCGCCTACTACCATTGATTTGTTTCCCGACTTTGCCCCTAAAGTTTCCTCAGTGTCAACCATCCTGCAAGAGCACAAAGCCATTTTATCAGTTGTGAAGTACCATCTTCACCGAGCACGACAAAGAATGAAAATAGAGGCAGACAAGCATCGTATAGACGCACACTTTGCTGTCGGCGACTGGGTTTGGGTGCGCCTTCAACCTTATCGTCAAACGACTGTTCATCGTCGCTCTAGCCAGAAATTGTCTAAGCGATTTTATGGTCTGTTCAAGATTCGTCAACGTATCGGCATGGTTGTTTACGCCTTGGAGTTACCAGAGAGTTCTCGCATCCATCCCGTTTTCCACGTGTCTAAGCTACGTCCCTTTGTCGGCGAAGACCCACTTTCACAGTTCCGGCCACCCCGTCTTCTTTACTTGACTCGATCCACGAACCGCTTCACTCATGCTCCGATGCAGGTGGAACAACACTTGAACCCAATCCTTTGTCTATGACACCGACACAACCACACGAAACGACCACCATGCCTTATCAACCTTCAAAGGCACATGCGCACTCACCTACTTCACGGAATCCCGAGACACGGCCATTCAGAAGCCAGCACAACAAAAGTGGTTGACAAAATTTTTGGGATTCGATTTTCAAATTGTTTACCGAGCAGGACGTCACAATACAGTGGCTGACGCCTTGTCTCATCCTGAGGATGTTCCAGATCAGATTCTGCTAGCTTTGTCATCTCCGGTTCCAACCTTTTTACAACAATGGAAGAATTATTTTACATCAAATCCAACAGGCCAAGCAACAGTTCTTAGATTCATTCATAATCCTCACTTGGAGGAGAAGAAAAATAAATGAAGGAGGAGGTGAGTGAGAGAGAGAGAACGGGGTCTCACAAACTTAAACAACGTAGTCAACTCACAACATTAACAACACAATTCAATAGCACAACAACTTCTCAACAGTGTTTAACAACATGTTTTTAGCAACAAAACAACTTATCCAAATCATGCATCCAGTATTTCTACACAATTACACAACTATGATTCAACACACAACTTTATCTTCTCATCATACCACAATATTCAACATTTTCTTAATCATAAGACCAAACACTTTCACGCCCGGCGCAAGTAAACTCGCGCCCGACCTGAACCCAATCCCGAGAGCTTTAAAGCTCTTTCACGCCCGGCATGTTGGTAGGCAGAGACTTCAAGGAGTCTCCCAAGCCTAGCGTAGCCCTCCTACGCCTGGCGCCACCCAGGCAGAGACCCCTTAGGAGCTCTACGTCTGGCGCTCCCAGATCACACCCGGCGCCATATTAGTAAGAAAAATTCAAAGTAACCATCTGATATCGCACCCAGCGTGGTTCCTTCACGCCTGGCATAATTCATCCAGAGGATTCCATTCCTAATATCGCCCGACACGGCCAACCTCGTGCCGAGCATGATTCAACAATGGAGTTCCCTGATGAACGCACGCCCGGCGCTAAGAACTACGCCCGGCGTTAACTCAAACAGTAACCCTCACCACCACTTCAAAAATTTCAACCAAATACCTACAAATCAGCCAACTCAAACACATGCAATCCATGAAATGAAATACATTTACTTCACACAACTCAAAAACAAGCTTTATTTCAACATGCAACCATCAAACGCATCAAAATCAACTTTTTTCCCAATTTTTCAAAACTCTGAAAATGAGAAATTCTTCAAATTAATCAATGATTCTCAACATTTTTACTCCAAATGAGTCTTTAAACTCACACACAACCAACGAGTTTACAATCTAGCTTCCCTCACCTTAGAGAAGAAGAATCCGAGCTCCGGGAAAGAGAAAGAAAAAGAAGAAGAAGGTCCGTGCTTCCAACTAGCACCTCACGCCTCTACTCAGCACCTTCAACAATAACACCACCACAAGGAAGCTCAGAATTTGAAATAAGAGAATAGGAAATGAGGAGAAAATGAGAGTGTTGAGGGGAAGGAGGAAAAAGAACTACAGGTCTTACAATGATAATGATGGTAGTTGTTAAAATTACAATAATAATAATAATAATAATTATTATTATTATTATTATTATTATTATTATTATTATTATTATTATTATTATTATTATTATTATTATTATAATCTTGTAAAAGAGGTGTTTATACACTACACCAAAATTAATTTTTTGTGGCAATTAATTTATTATTTACCGACCATATAAATGGTCATTATTATTTTTCCCAGCATTTAAATAAAGGCTGGTGTATCCAGTGTCGCTAATACTATTACCGACATTTATATAAAATGCTGGTAAAGATCTACTAAATTGTCGGACTTTTTAGTGACAATTCTAGTAGCCATTTTAAAGGCTATTAAAAGTTATTTTTTTCAATTGTCTCCTTTACTTTAAATAATTTTTTCCTATAATTTCCTTTTATAAATTCATAACTTATATATTTTTTTTTTATCTCTACTCGATGTAGAATTTGTAAGATGAGAGTTGTTTTTTATTTATATATTTTTTAATTTATTTTTTTAATTATCTTGTCTTTTAAGAAATGTAAGATTTATAAGGTGAAAGTTGTTATCTAATTATTTTATGACACTATTGAATTTGGTAATAATAGGTGATTTGATACCAATTTAGAATAGTGAATTAGGAGTCAACCCTATAAAATGAACTTGTAAGGTGATAGTTATTATTCACGTATATACTATTTAATTATCTTATCTTTAATCGATGTGAAACTTAAGTTTTTTCTAATAAATAATTGTCGCTAATAGTAAACTTTAATGTAATATAAATACATTTTTAGTGGCTATTATATATTAGCTATTAATATTTTTATATATGGCGATAATTAAATTATTGTCATTAAATATTTGGTTAATAATAAATTTTATTATAGTGATAAGTGAAATTTAATTTTAATCATTAATTATTTTTTCACAGACTTCAAAACTGTTATTAATAGTTTTCATTGCTTTTAAACATTTTAAGCGACTTTATCACTATTGTGACTGATTTCATGGAAAAACGTACACCTCCTAATTTCAAAAAGAAAAAAAAAAAACACATTTTTCAAGTCTCATTTGTTATTTATGAAACTCTAATCGTGATTTTATAATTTGTAGTAATCAAATTCTATTACACCTCTTGTTAGGTAAAGTACCGAATTGGACCCTACTACTAAATTGTTCCGCAGCCAGCGTCGCTAAAATGAAAAATTCTACGGTACCACTGTCATCGGAATAGTCATTTTATTTTTAATTTTTTTTTATTATAATTACTTGTTTTATTTTTATTTTAATTTAATATTTTTAATAAATTTTTTTTATAAATTTTTTTATATCTTTATATTATTTTTATATTTTTTAATTTATATTTTAATTAAGCATCTATTATAATTAAAAAGTTTAATATTAATATTTTTTAAATATGTTTTAGTTTTTCTTTGGTGATAATTTTTTTGAATTTATAGTATAAATTAGTTTTTTAGTTGTATTATTTATTTTTTCTATTTTAATATTTTTATAATATTATTATAATTTTTTGTTTT